ATTGAGCACGCCTTTGTTGCTTGCTTCCTATAAATAGTTGCCCTACTCACTCAACTTTTTACTATTTTCCAGCAGTTAGACAGCACAATTTATGTTCACGTTAATGGAGACGTGATCAATACAAAACAAAGGCAAATATACATGTGCAGAATTCCTGACATTACGCTGCAGACCGTTGTACCACATCAACAGTGTCAGTCAGGCTTGCCTTGTTCCAGCAGGTGATGGATACAGCAGAAAGGCTTGAAATCCCAATCTCAGGTTCTGCCACGCATAGGCTCCAGCCAACAATGGGCATGTTTGCTTTGCTGTCTGACAAAGTCGCCTAGCGCAAGAGCTTCTCCCAGGCATTGGATTTTCTTCGCCTAGGGTCAGGATCTCTACCTGGGAGGCTTCAAACCATACAGCCCTAATGTTCACTGGTCTCCCCATGTTTGAGTAGTAGCCAGTAGACAGTTTAAGTTCATGGAAGAAACTTAAGAGCTTGTCTTTCTCCATTATATCCAAGGTCCACGAGGCTACTGGGATGTAGCTCCGGCCTAACATTTATCTTTTTCAGGTCCAAACGAGTTTGAAGTAAATCTTTCCCCTTGCACTTTATGTCCATTAAGGTGCCGAGCGTGCTTTCGGCCACATTTTTAGTTATGTGCATCCCATCAAGTGCTCAAGTGCGTGGCGAAAATGCAAGAACTGCAAATAAGGCAATTTTCAGAATATCGATTCCTTTTTGAACATAGAGCCTTTCGGTACCGGCATGCTTCCTTTGCCCTTTCCAAGGATGACTTTTAGTTTGTTCACTTTTTTCAAAATCTGCCTTCCATTTTGAATCCGAGGAGCTGGACGATCATCAAATTTGCCATTAAAGGATTTCTTGTTCCTACAGCACGGATGATCCGTGCATAGGAACCAACTATGACCTAGATACACCATCTTCTTACTGTTGCTCAGCCATTTAGCATCAGTGTCCTCCGAGCAAACCACACATCCTTTGTATCCTTTCGTAACTTGTCAAGACAAGGAATCAAGGCCCAGTAGGTCAGTGATTGTTAGGACTCTCAGATATAAGTGTTTTTGCTTGTACTCGTCCCACACCTTGACCTCCTTTGATGACAACATTTCCATTAGCTCGTCCACCACTGGTTCTAGGTACACATGAATATTGTTGTCAGGTTGCTTTGGCCCTTGGATTAGTAATGACATCATAATGTAGGTGCACTTCATGCACAACCAAGGCAGAAGGTTGTATATACACAGAGTCACGGGCCAGGTGCTGTGATTGCTGCTGACCATGTTGAAAGGATTCATCCCGTCAGTACTCAACCAAACCTTATGTTCCTTATTTCCCTTTTAAATGACTTGTATCTTGATTCTTGAATCACTAGCCCTCCACTGTGATCAATCAGCTGGGTGTCTGACCTTTCCATCATTCACACGTTTTTTTGGCATGCCACCTCATCAGCTGTGTTGTCTTTCCGTTCGCAAATAATCTCTTCAAGCGTGGAATTATAGGAAAATACCACACAACCTTCTTGATGGTCTTTTGTTCCGGTCACCTATCATCACCTCAGCAGAGTCAAACTTGTAGTGTGAGGTTTCGCGCACCGAACACTGATCCAACTCTGCATATTTGCCACGTACAGTATGCAATCATTGAAGAACGCATGAATTTTTTGTACTTCCAGCGCTATTGGACAGATCATTTGATTCGCCTGATATGTGTTCTCTGGCAGCTCATTTGACCATGGAATCATCTTCCTCAAATGAGTTAGCAAATCATCCAATCCTTTGTTGGACAGACCATTCCTTGATTTGACCTCAAGTAGCAAAAGGTTGGCTTCTAACTTGGTCATAGTAGAACTACTGTACAACGATGTTTTTGCATCCTTTCTCATTTGCTCCAACTTCTTCAAATTTTTTTCATCAAGGAACTCTGGCTCCCCATCACGTATCATCTTGTCTAGAGCATCAAGACTTTAGTATCTAGCAAAGTGTCATGGCCTGTTTCATTGATGGTTTCCTGCACGGTTTCACTCATTGTTTCATGGACGGTTTCCTGCACGGTTTCACTGATTGTTTCATGGACGGTTTCCTGTAAGGTTTCATTCGCTGCTGTCTCCTGCAAGGGTGCCTAGACGGTTTCCTCAGGTAAGATCTCACCCTCCTTGCCATGCATGTTCCAAACCTTATAGTTTTTCATGAAACCCCTATGTATCAGATGAAATCGTATATGCTCGACGCTCCTATATGTCTTTTCATTCTTGCAATCAACACATGGGCCGTGTATGTATCCTTTACTTCGAACATTATTTGCTACATACACCTTGGCGGCTTTCACAAAAGAGTCAGTGCCTTCCACGAACGGGGCATACACAGTGTCCAAGTACATCCATCCACGATCCATCTGTGAATAACACAACTTTAGTGGCATAGGTCAACTAGTCATTCAATTTGATACAATCAAACTATTGTATACACACTGGCCATAGGGTAATTTGGTGGGCACGCAACAATCAAGAATAAGAAGCCGCCTCCAAAATCAAGAAGCACTATAAAAGGAAGAAGGATGATTTTTTGTCATAATTTAACCACAGGGGCCGCATTCACAAAAGAGTCAATGCCTTCCATGAACGGGGCAAACATAGTTTCCAAGTACATCCATCCACGATCCATCTATGAATAACACAATGCAACTTTAGTGACCGACATAGGTCAACTAACTAATGTGTCATTCAATTTAATACAATCAAACTATATGACACATACTGACTATAGGGTAATTTGGTGTGCATGCAACAATGAAGAATCAGAAGCTAGATGCCTCTGAAATCAAGAAGCACTCTAAAACAAAGAAGGATGATTTTCGGTCACAATTTAACCACAGGAACTAAGGTAGCTATACGAAAAGGGTTGTTACTTACCAACAATAGAACATCCTTCAAAAATTGACAGCCTTTACTAGCAAACGGTCGCAAAAAATGGTGGAGGGAGCCACGGCTGAAGAAAAGTTGACCGAGTGAAGAAGAAGAGGAGGAAATGGGGTTTTCATTACTCTTACAACGATTTACCACCACCGGGTTAACTCGACAGCCGATGGCAATACCCATTTTTACCGCCGGATCACAACCTATGGTATTCGATGTTCGAACAAACCGCCGGTAAAATTTCTTATCACCGCTGGCATGGCAGGCTGGAAGACATCGCAAACTATTGTGATTTCCTCTGTCGAATCATAAGACCAACTGATGGTGCTAGATTCTTTCACCACCTTATGTAACGGTGGTGCATCCATCCATCTTCAAACCGTCGGTGAAACCTTCTTACCTGTGCTGATTTCTTAGCGCGTCGTGCATCAGATGAACAGCTGGCGGTGCTAAACGTTCTATCGCCGGTTCGCCGTACGATATAGTGGAGAGGTCTAGCAATTTGTTCACTGCCAGATCATACGGCAAGATGGCGGTAAAAACTTTTATCACTGCCGGTTAATCAACTAGATGGGGCCCTCAGGTCATGGGCTAGCAGTGATACTTACCACCGCTAGTTGTCTTAAAACCGTTGGTGAAAGCCCCGAGGGTGATTAAACTTCCTATAGTAGTGTAGAACTCCTCATGTGCCACATGGGCTACATGGGCCAATAACACAACTACTATAGGGTTCTAGCGGGCTGGGGTGTTACATTCACCCCATACGCAACAGATGTCTAGGATCACCCCTTGGTACAACCCTCCACGAGCACATGCAGTAAGGGTTGACACTCTGAATACCATCTGTAACACCCCTGTCCAAAATCTGCTTATATGGCCCAGTTCCTCACGTAGAACAGGCCTGCATACGTGTTGCACCCCACTTATATTTTCGTCCTTGCTTCATGTAAAAGGGTTAGCCGGAGGTGCTACGTTTGGAGCGATAAGGATTATAAGTTTGCCCTCACCCTTCTAAACTTTCAAGGTTGTACTAAACCCACCAACTCCAACTCCTCATGTGCCATATGGGCCACATGGGCCAACGACACAACTACTATAGGCTTCTACGGGCTGGGGTGTTACAAGGCCGGACATCGGGAGCCATCATACGTGCAGGGAAGAAGGATGCGTCGGGGGCCATCAGATGTGCAGGGAATCAAGAAGGACGCACAGGGAAGAAGGAAAGAGGTGAGAGAAACATGAGAGGAGAGAAAAAATTAAGGGCATTCTGGTCATTTAATTCTTAGTCTACTTTGTGAAGTTGTTTTGCTAAACGGAGCCAAAAACAGCTTAGCTTCACCGAGTAAGCTACTCGTGAAGCTAAACCATCTCTAAAAAACAGCTTCACTAATGAAGCTAAGCTGTGCCAAACGGGGCTTTAACCTTTTTCTTCACTGTCGATCGTCTTGTGGGTACCGAACACTTTCACATTCACAAGCAAATAGACATGTTGTGCAACACACACGATATAACTCGGCACGACACCTCTGGTTTGCTATTAGCATAATCGAACATGTATCAATATGAACTCAACCAGAAAAACCTCATGCATGTCAGCTCTTGTGTCAATCATTCATCAGTCAGCACTTTTCAACTTATCTTTTAACTTCAAAATAAATACATTCCAATCATCCTGTGGAGAAAGATGCATCTACTCTCCCAACTACCATGCTCAGTACCAATGTCCACTCCCACACTATGTGCACGTTGTTATCATGCATTAACTGGCACGTACTCTCCCAACTACCATGCTCAGTACCAATGTCCTGTGGAGAGATGCGTCTAGCTACCTACCACGCACCGAATGGAACGCAGTAATACATTCCAATCATCCTACGTGTATGTGAAGCAGCGTGTATCACGTTGGATCTAAACACTATAAATACCACCAGGCTACAAGCATCTCTCCTCACTCCAAATCCATCAAACCGAGCTCCATCTCTGAAAGCATCCCTTAGCAGCAAGTTACTACTAGCTACGTGTATTTGCTTTGGAGGGGAAAAGAAAGCATTTAAGATATATAGCATCATTTTCGTTCCCATGGGTACTAATGATAGAGCGGTCATTTCTCTAGTATTATTCCTTGTGTGCATGGCTAGCCGCTCCTTGGGTAGCACTGAAACTGAAGCTGTGGTTGAGCAGAGCCGCTCATTAGTCCCATCCATCTATGTGTTTGGTGATTCCATTGTCGATGTGGGAAATAATGATTTCCTGCCACCGCCTGCGCCCCGTGCGCGATCTCCATACGGCATCGACTTCGCCGGCACCGGCATGACAGGGCGGTTCACGAATGGCTACAACCTTGCCGATTTAGTCGGTATATATTTATTTACTATATATATATATGCATGCTTATATTTTGTTATATGTGGATATTCTTTACATAGGCTAAAGAAACTCCGCTCTAATGGCTTTTCAAATCGTGACTTTCAAGTCCTCAATCATATATTGTTTTTATATTTCGTGTGTAACTATAAAATTATATGTAGCAACATTACTTTTTCAGCACATCGATCATGCAATATATATAGCTTCCATACATGTATCTTGATTGTTATTTTCATATGTAGGGATGTTTAGGTAATACTATAGTACATTTGAGACTTCACAGATCCAAGACACAGCAGAGTAAAAGAATCACATTTATATTCTCTAGTTAATTAATAGAGACGGATACATCTAGAGATCGCATTTGTAAATTGTTACATAGTCTCTAGACAAACGTCTGCCTCACTTAATCGTTTTCAAAGGCAAGAATTTTAAGGTGACCACTACATCTGTTCAGAGACTATTAACAAAGGCGAGTGTCCTAAAATGTCTGCCTCTGTTAATTGAATTGGTGAATAGAGGCGGTTGAAAGTAACTACTAACACAGATGAGCATTCTAAACATGTCTCTAGATAGTTGCATCAAAAAATAATTCACAACCTTTTCATATTAAATCTGATGAAGACAAACATTATATGGAAATTATAGTTCTTGATCCAATCTACAACTTCCTAGTTGGAAATAAGTTTTTTATTTGAAACTGTTTAAAGTGCTAAAATGTTGTTTTAAGTTCTTAAATGTTACAATTAAAATTTTTAAACAACCTCAATGTTGACATGGTCTATAACAAAGTTCTAGTTCTCAATACAATCTACAAATTTGTAGTTGTTTTTTTTAATTTGATGTTGTTTAAAGTCACAAAATTTTTCAGATGTTCTTAGATTTTGAAATTCAATTTTAGAATTTCAAAACAACTTTGAATGTTCACATAAATACTAAAGTTGTGGTGGCCGACCAGATCTACAAGTTTACTGTTGATAATTTTTTGATTCGAAGTTGTTTAGAGTTTCAAATATCTGTTTTAAATTCACATATTTTGAGATTCAAATTTTTGAAATTTTCAAACAATATCGGATGGAGACATGTCCTATACCAAAGTTGTTGTATGCCAAGATTTAAAACTTTGTAGTTAAAACTTTTTATTTGATTTTTTTAGTAGCTAAAATATTCAAAGATTATGAAATGTTGATACAAAATATAGCATCGTATATATCCTTACAAAAGATGCAATGGTAGGGACGTGTTGTGTGAGTTGAAGGTTGCAAGTTTGAGTATTGAGAAGCACATTTTTCTTTGTGCGATACAAAGGCGGTCGGACTGTCCGCCTTGCTCGTCGCTGAAAATACTCCCTATAGTAGTGAAACATATATAAATTATTGCAATGTTGATGGCTATTACAACAACAATTTGGATATTTGTGGGTATACACATGGTTAGCTCCTATACTGCTATACAGTTGCCATGCATGAGCCCATGAGCAATAAACAGGTATAGTATAGCAATTCATCAAAGTTTATTATATGTACAGCGCGACGTCTGGGGTTCATGAAGAGTCCACCTGCTTACCTCTCGTTGACACCGTTAACAAACCTTGACCTATTGAAGTGCCGAGTTGGTGCCAATTACGCATCTGGCGGATCCGGCATTCTTAACACCACGGTATGCTCATATAGAAGCTGTTTTTTTAGATTGAGAGATGCTGCTCATAACCTGTGTATACATTACACATACATATTATTGCTTCTCACGATGAGTACACAAATATATCCCGATCACCACACTAGCTAATAATTACTGGTAATTAAATTCAATCATATATTGTGTAAAAGTGGGCAAGGAGAATTACATTACATATATTTGATAAACTAATTTCATATCTATGGCTGTCGGCAAATATGTATATGCAGGGAAATGGGACACTCACGCTGCAAAAACAGATCATGTTATTCTCCAAAACTAAAGCAAGAATGTGGCGGTGTGGCCTGAAGCTCAACTATATGATATCAAAGTCGTTCTTCCTTATTAGCGCCGGAGGCAATGACTTCTCTGCCTTCAGTGAAATGGGCATGGGCGAAGAAGATGCCCCAGCCTACATCAGTAGCATGGTCTCAACCTATGTCGAGCATATCAACGTACGTACGTGAGGGACCATATATCTATGATACAAGTTCATTATTGCACATCAAAAGAATGCAACCAAAAAAATATAATATGTCACAATGGAGTTATTATTTTGGACATTGGCAAGGTCTATCAAATAATTTGTTACTATTACTTTCTATTAGAACACATTGACAGACCGTAGAAAATGTATGATTAAGAGACTAACTCTGTGGATTACACTTTGAAATGTTCAATCTCAATGTAAAGCAAAGTAATTGATGGTCAAAGTTTAGATACGTTTACCACATCCATCTATTGCACACTTTTAATGTAGCCTGCGACATTATTTCTTACATAGACATCATTACAAAATTTCTTTATCCAGAACAACTCCAAGTATAACTCAATTTTGTTGTACAATATATGTGTAGGGAAAAATATAACAGAAGAATACCCCATGAAAAAAGTTTTCACAAAAAGAATGCAACAATGACATGGTGGCTACATTCTTTCTAAATAAACCGCCACGCCCATATATACTTCGTGAATGCAGGCGTTGTACAAGTTGGGAGCACGGAGGTTGGGGATCCTAGACGTGCCAGCAATCGGTTGTACTCCAGGTTCGAGAGTCCCCATGGCCAACAGCGGATGCAACGACGCTGCTAACTCTATGGCACAGAACTTCAACAAACTCCTAAGGCTTGAGGTGGCAACAGCCATCGCAACCTCCATGCCCGACATGAAATACTCCATAGCAAGCACCTACAATTTTCTCACTGACTTGATGGACAATCATCTCGTGGCTGGTATGTTCAAGGCCATCGTTTAATTTGTGCAAAAATCTTATCTTTAGGTTGATTAATTCATCAAGATCAATTATTTAGTACTAGCTAGTATTTTGCAGTAACTAATGAACTGTTCTTAACACAATTACTGTGCATTTCTATGATCATATTCAGGGATCCGGGTGGTCGAGAGGGCATGCTGCGGATCAGGAAAATTGAACGCGGCGGTAATGTGCAGCAAGCCAAACACGACTTATTGTTCGGATCGCGATGACTACATGTTTTGGGATATGTTACATCCTACACAGGCTACATATGAACGAGGGGTGGTCGCAATCTTCTACGGCCCGCAGGAGTATGCGGATCCCATCAACTTTGCAGGATTAGTCGACATCGCCACAGATATAAATACTACTATGACTCCCAGCGTCTCTGCCATATAATAAACTTCTATCTCGGCCTGCAACTGCAACGTATCACTAGCAGAATACTATCAGCTTTTGGCAGGCATTATTTGAGAAGAAGTAATTCAGTCGAAATAATGTACGTTGTGTGTATCATCAGTATGATGGCAGTATCTATCTATATATATGTGGGAAAATAAGGACCAGGCCAACAAGTGTTAATTAGCTGCATATGCATGGGAAGTAGCTGGAGACTGCGGCAATGTATTTCTTCGCGTCTTATGGACGGTTTTTTATTTCTAGAATTGTGTTTTGAGTCGGTTTTGTTTTGTAAACTCGTTCATGCAGTCATCGTGGAGTTATTGTTGTAATAAAGTGGTCTGATTCCTCTTCTTCGAGGATGAAGCCCGATGTTCTAGTTCTTATAAGTAGACTCCCTACCCGCTTGCAGCTTGAACTAGTTTGACTTTTGTATTCCACATACTCCCCTCGGATTTTTTACATGTCATATAAGCTTTACCATAAGTCAAATATTTGTATCATTAACCATCGATGTTTTTACAAAAATTATATAGGTACATGACATAAAATTTATGTTTTTAGATTTAGTATGAGAAATACTTTCATAGTATAGAATTCATATGTTGTGCTTATATAAAAAGGATTTTAGATAACAATACTACAAAATTCATTTTCAGAGTCGGCCAAATGAGATTTCCAGAGGGGGCCGCTCTCCTGCCTCCATTTAAAGGTCAATATTAACCAGGATTTTCAGAGGTGCTTATATAATGCACACCTCTAGAAATAAATTTTAAAACACAAACCACAGCTTAGCTCGACTCAACTTTGACTTCCAACTAAACCAGCCTAGATCAAAGAGAGTCAAGTAGAGTGGTTCTTCATCTTTCTATTCTAAGAGTTGTGCATCGAGCTCTAATTTTTCTTTGAACATCTATTGACTAAGCATCTTGGCATCATCTTGCGTTAATTCTTAATAGAGGCAGTTGTCAGAAGGCGCCCGCCTCCGTTAAACCTTTAACGGAGGCAGCCGCGCTATGACATCCGCCTCAATATCTGGTACATCCATTCTAACCTTTCTATACCAATTAACCTTGTACGTAGCGGAAAAAATATATTAAGACACATCAAAATGAGATGGATGGTGGCATCATGTATAAAATCTACAATTATCATTAATTAAAAATCTACAATTAATTAACACAAACAAAATAAAAAACACGACTTTAAGACATATAACGGCAAAGATCCCTTTGAACATCCAAAAGTGATCACCAAATGATTGAACCTATCTTCTGGGACATTGATCCATAATTGATTTATCAAAATTCACTTTAAGACCAATAATTCAGCAAAGGAGATGAGCAAGTCTTTTAGGTATCTCAACTGATCAACATCCTCTTGCATAAAAATGAGGGTGTCATCTACGTATTGAAGGATGTGGAAGTCCTGGTCGCTCTACTAAGGAATTGGAAGATGCAGATGGCCATGGTTGTTGGCTGATCGAGCTCAGTAAAGTTTGAAGGAAGTCAGCAACCAACACGAAAAATAGAGGTGGGAGTGGATCTCCTTGCCGAAATCCTCTACGGCAAAGAAAAACTTTACCCCGGCACCCCATTAAGTAGGATAGCTAATGTCCCTGAACGAAAAATAAGTTTCATCCAAGTTAGTAATTTAGGTGGGAATCCCTTTCTTTGCATAATTTGCGGTATTAGTTCATGCTGAACTTTGTCAAAAGTGTTTTCAAAATCAAGCTTAAGAATGATCAATTCTTTCATCTTGGATGGTTCAATGTTTTATAAAACCATATTGGTTCTTATGAATCAGGGCGGGCATTACCATGTGAAGTCTATTGGCCAGAATCTTGGTGATTATTTTAATGGAGGTGTGGAGCAATGAGATGGGTCTGAAATCTGAAACCTTTGCTGCATCATCTTTCTTGAGAATTAAAGTGATATGAGATCCATTTATTCTTTGAAGATAGAAATTCCGAGAGAATTGACAACTTTATGCCATGGCAAGGCAACAAGAGATTATCTTTCAACAAGAAATTATTGGGAGCAATTAGAATACAACACAAGCAGCAAGATGGGGGAGGAAATGCATTCATGTCAAGTCTGAATTGGCCTTTTCCTTGGGCATCCCTCTAACCGTTGGGAGAACTCCAATAAGAACCTAGCCTCATACCCCCAAATCCCTAGCTCTAACCTTGTTGGTTCATTCCTTGATTAACAAGTACTTGAATTCATTTTAAACTTCTCCTAATTTTGTTATCTTATTACACTGCAACTGTACGCTCTGATTAATACCAACACATAACAACAAAACAAGAACAACAAAACCACTAGTCTAGTACCGTCACATAAACACAAAAGAGAGAAGTTTCAGCCAATGTCACGAATCGTTCGCAGCGAAATCCTCATCCCTGTCGTCGCCCTTCCATATCAAATTCTCTCCATTCTTGATCCTCCTCATCCTGGCTATCATCTCGTCAATGGTGATGTCGAATGCGTCCCTCATCTCCCCCTGGAACCCCACCCTGGGGTCCTTGTACAGGAACCTCGGGATCATCTTGATCACCTCCTCCTTCATGGCGGCCACCTCCTCATCCTTGTACCTACTCAGCTCCTCCTCGATGTCCACTCTCCCTTCCAGCACGTCTTTGGAGTTGATGAGCACGTAGTACCGGCGGTCGCCGTCGTTGCTTCTGCCCGGCTCTGGCTCGTGCCAGCGGTACTGCGCCTTGAGCATGGAGGGCCGGTGGAAGAAGACGGGGATGCAACCGGCCATGACGCTGTCAATGGACGAGCGGCGCGCGAAGGAGTCCCCACGCGGCTGCAGGCAGAAGCGCGCGGAGGTGAAGAGGGAGACGAGCTTCCGCGGCGACCGGCAGGTGATGCTGCCCTCGAGGCCGTGGCTGCAGTCCGGCATCCCGCACCGGCCGCGCCGCGCCGCGGCCTCGCACACGTCGAAGACGCGGTCGCGGATGGCCAGCTGCCCCTTCATACGCCGCGCGCCCGCGAACGCCAACAGGAACGGGCGCGGCGCAGCCCCCACGCGCGCCTGCCACCCGGCCACCTCGCCGGCCGACGACGGGTGAAAGTAGCTCGGGTACGGCACGGCGATGTCCCGCGGCGCCCAGATGTTGGACTCGTACGTGAGCACCGTCATGTTCCGGGACTCCGGCTGGCCGAGGAAGTTGTTGCCGCACCCTTCGTCGCTGCCGCCAGGCTCCCGCCGGAATATCCACGTTGTCTTGGCGGCCACCATGAAGTGGTCGCGCCCGCCGAGCGCCGCCCACGTGCGCTGCGAAGACAGCCATCGCAGGAACGCCTCCGACGGGCCGTCGCGTACCGTGGTGTTGACGCACAGGTGCTGGTGCAGCTCCAGCGCGGGATAGTACGGCACGTACACCGCCGTCGCCGCTGCGGGGTCGTCGGTGAGGCACTCGTACCGCCGCATCCAGTTGTGGAAGATCACCTCCATCGAGTACTGGTCCGTGCTGTACCTGCGGCGCCGGCAACACACATCCGTGAGCACAACCACTTTGTCCGGTCTCACAAACTTAAAACCAACATATCACCGGACACTGATGTGTGTGCTAGCTTACCATCCGGTGCTGGGGATGATATCTGTGTCACCGTCGCTGCCATGGCCGCCGGCGGGGCCAATCTTGGGGCCAAGCCCGGCATTGACCGTGATTGCACATCAGCTCCACATGTCGTCGAACAACGGCGAGCCGGCAACGCAGTCCCTGAGCATATCGAACCGTGATGGCACGTCCAGCATGTAGACATACCGTCCCTCGCACGATGGTGGTGACGACGGCGAAGGTGACGCCGCCACCACCGACGACGATGCTGACCGCCGTCTGTTGTCAGCCTCGACGGTCGGGGAGGGAAGGAAGCTTGCATCCAGCGCGATGGGGAGTACGACGAGAGCAGCGGAGCGGGGTGCTATAAAGGAGGAGAGCGAGAGGTGGAAGTACTGGAAGTGGAGAAGACAGGAGAGGAGCCATGAGCGAGTATGAGGAGGTAGTATACGAGGTACTTTTTTTTTTCGCGGAAAAAGTATACGAGGTACTTGGGGTAGTGGGCTTCCATATGCATGGCTGGAAGATGGATGCCTCCCCAGCTAGCTCCTGGGGTTTAGTAGGGAGCCTAATGGAGGCTTAAGGTCTGATCTAATAAAAGCTCCGTTTAGTGCACTAGGGTTTTGTGTTGATCCATATTCTTTGTGTCCTTTGAGGCTTTGACCATGAACGTAGGCAAAACCAACAGTGGTTCATCTGTAATATCTTTAATTTGATCAATGTACTTAAGCCCTTGTTTAGTTGGACCTCAAAATCCAAAAAGTTGCTACAGTATCTGTCACATCGAATATTTGCGGTCCGTGTATGGAGCATTAAATGTAGACGAAAAGAAAAACTAATTTCACAGTTTGGTGGGAAATTACGAGACGAACGTTTTAAGCCTAATTAGTCAATGTTTGGACACTATTTGCCAAATAAAAATGAAGGTGCTACAGTAGCCCCAAAAATCTAAATTTCGCGAACTAAACAAGGGCTAAGTATATGTCCTTTTTTTTGGTATTGCGTTGAGTGCAGATTACAGTACTCTGACCCTGCACCTTTTACAATGAGATTGTTTATACGATGTACTTTCTCTGTTCTAAATTATAAGCCGTTTTAGTTTTTCCTTAGTCAAGCTTGTCTAATTTGAATCGAATTTATTTATTGAAAAATGAGTAAAATAATATTAATATATACAATATCAAGTAGATGCACTATTAAAACATGGGTTAAGTACACTTTACAACCTTGAACTTGCGCCAAAGTATGATTTTCAACCTTCAACTATGAAACCGGTCAAGAAACACCCTCCAACTATCAAAACCGGACAACTTTGGTCCTCGGCCGGTTTCAAAAGCGGTTTTCTATTTTCGGGAGGCGCCGAAATTTTAAATTATTTTTTTGAGCATCTTAACGTTCTCAAATGAAAAAACTCAAAACTACAAAGTTGTAGATCTCATTGAGGTCTACAATTTACATATAAAAATTATCTTCATCCGACATTGTATCAAAGGGTTTTCTATTTTTTGAAATTTGAGTCTCATCACGCGACAAAATATGGTGCTGAAATTTTATATTATTTTTTGAGCATCTTACTGTCCTCAAATGAAAAAAATTAAAACTATAAAGTTGTAGATCTCATCGAGGTCTACAATTTACATATAAAAATTATCTTCATCCGACATCGTATTGAAGGGTTTTCTATTTTTTGAAATGTGAGTCTCATCATGCGACAAAATTGTTTTTTTTTCCGACAAAGTATGTTTTAATTTTTTTCATTTGAGGACAGTAAGATGCTTGAAAAAAAATATAAAATTTCAGCACCATATTTTGTCGTGTGATAAGACTCAAATTTCAAAAAATAGAAAACCCTTCAATACGATGTCGGATGAAGATAATTTTTATATGTAAATTGTAGACCTCAATGAGATCTACAACTTTGTAGTTTTGAGTTTTTTCATTTGAGAACGTTAAGATGCTCAAAAAAATAATTTAAAATTTCGGCACCTCCCGAAAATAGAAAACCGCTTTTGAAACCGGCCGAGGACCAAAGTTGTCCGGTTTTGATAGTTGGAGGGTGTTTCTTGACCGGTTTCATAGTTGAAGGTTGAAAATCATACTTTGGCGCAAGTTCAGGGTTGTAAAGTGTACTTTACCCTTAAAACATACTTTGTGGTGTACATAATTAACTTAGTTTGACGTTGTATACATATATTTGTGCATTTTACTATAAATTGATTTAATTTATATAAATTTGACTTAGGATAAAGATAAACGGCATAAAATTTAGGAACCGAGGGAGTATTGAACTATTGATTGCGTGTGATCTTTGACCACTCGTGTGGAGTATGTTGACATGGTGTGATCTATGACCACTCAATCACCGAATATGCAACAAAGAGGAGGAAAAACTTAATTTGATTTGTGAATGTCAAGCCATTAGCAACTTCTGGGAACTGTGAAGTGAATATATAAGATTGTGAGACGAACAGCTAATCTAATGTGAACTGTTTCCTTCAGATGCACTTCTTTACTTAGAACAGTGTGCTGATTGTCTCCTTCAGCTGCACTCGATCGGTTTGGCGCAAAAAAGAAAAAAGTTCACTGATGACTTCGTTAGATCCAAAAGAAAAGCCGGGTCCTCTCCAAGACACTACAATTAAGAGTTCTAGGCTTCTAGCTTGTGCTGCAACTCTTGGAATTATATATAATCAATTATATATGTGGCATCCCTATATATATTCAATATTCAAATCCCTACAGCATGCAATTGACTTGAGTTGTCAATCAGATTTGGTCATTGAGATTCCCAGTGAGCCTCCCGAGGATCAGTGTCAAGATTCCAGTGGCTCTTAGGACGAAGATTAGAGAAACTGCTTAAAAGTTCTTGTTTCCATACATAAGAGGCCTGCTATTTGACTGAATACTGTGGAGGATTCGATGGGCTCAGGATCCGACCATGCTCGAGAGTTCAAGACACAGTGTCTTGGATTTTCCTGATCCTCTCGCTGAATGTAGCTGGTTGACCTGCATGCATCAAAGTGTGTATAAGCACCATGGACCTTTTATAAGTTATCACACCGTTTCGTAATAGGGTTTAGGGGAATCAGTGTCGACAAGAAAAATAATAAGGTAGTGGCTCACAATGTCAAGAAGCAAGATAAAAAGGAAGTAAACCAAGCTAATTTGGGTGCCCAAAGATTCTTTATCAACCATGAAAGGCACCAAAAAGGTTTGGATCCCAAATGAGAAGTAGATTCCACGGAACTCGGAGAATTCGGAGACTTAGCATACTTACAATGTATATCAAGAGGATACGTCACATTGGATCATGTCAAAGCCAAATGGGCTAGTGAAGATTATTGACCTAAATTTTGACCCCATGTTAGGTAACTAGATTTAAATTCATGTATTTTAATTAGCATCTAGTTTGCTTTTTCATATCTAGGATTGCATGAAGAAATCTTCTAGCCCCTATTTGGGTTTTGGTAGTTAACGACAATACTTGTGACAACTCATATAAGAAATAAAGGTCTTAAGTTAGGTCCACAAGAATGCTTTGAGCAAAACATGGTGTCATGGTGGAAGACGGCATGAATGAAATGAAAGGAGCTCAAGGCAAAGGTACACAACATAGAGTTTATATGTTTCACCAGCCTATGGTGGTTATAAGTAAAATGGCCAAGTTTCAGGATATATAGCCGTACTATAAACAGGGAATTTTTCTATTGCAAATACTGTTGACTATTTGCCACTCTGTGAGATCATTCTTGTGCATTGCATTTAGAGTCGAGCTGAGTGGCGATTTGAAATGCACGTGAAAAACCGTTCGAAACATTTTTGAAAATGTTAACCAAGTGCTAATGGTGATGATTATCCTGCGGGATGATATATGGAGTTAGCAACTTTTGAAAAATTTGGAAAGTGCTTTGAGAGACATGTTTGGTGGGTTGTTTTCTCCTCAGCTGGTCGGACTGCTGGCCCAATTTCGGCCAGGCCTGATTGTCATGTGACTGTGGACTAGGGCAGGGCCGAGATGGCCCGTCTAATTAGGGCGCGGTCTAACTGTGGGCTTCCAGTCAGTCTGATCATTGGTCATGCGGAACGCATCTAGGAAATAGTGTTGGGCCTTGGCCTGGCTTACTGCGGCAAGTGGTTTCATCTGACCATGTGGTGGTCTGACTACCAAGGCCCTATGTGGTCCTATGGGAATCCGATTTAATGCGCGTGCCTTTTCTTGCATCAGGAGCTAGGATATGGTGCATATGATGCTAAGGAATATCTTGACCAAAAGATGACAGTAGAACAAAAATTTGCTTCCCACCATGTACCTGATCACATGATCACCATATGGTTACACAAGCTACTAGTGAATTTATAGATTTTAATATAATCTGGTGGCAAGAATTAGCTAATTTGCATCGACAACCTGATTCATGGGATAAACTTAAAGAAGCAATGTGTGATCTTATTCCTCCTTATAAACATGATTTGTGTAAGATATTATTGCGCTTAGAGCAGGGAGATATGTTTATACATAAATACTATGCAGAGCTTCAAAAGGGCATGATTCGCAAAACTTTACTTTGGAACTGATTTTATGAACAACATGGTTGAACTCTCCCACATATTTAAAATCTAGTACATGGAGTTGGTTCCACTCATTGACAGCCTCCGGTAGGATGACTGCTTTCTACTATTCATGCCATTTTTAAAGAACCAGCCACAGAGCGCATGGGTCTTCTTCCATCAGATAGTCAGCCTTGAGATCAGGATGGATGTGGTTCATTATTATAAATAATGTATTATACTTGAGAGGCTCAGCCAAAGGAGCTACACCCTCTTGGGAGTTGCAATTGCCTAGCACATTCCGTACAACGATAGACTCACTTTGAGATCCATTGCCCAATTGGGG